AAGAAAGGTGACCAGCAGTCCAGAGTAACTCTGTTTTTCCCTTCTTAGTCCTAACCTCTGCTTCCCTCTAGTGACAATCACAGTAGCAAGAGGTTAAGTGTCAGCACTATGAAGCTATCCTCAGCCACTGAAGCACAAGTTCGATCCCTGGCCAGGTTGCTGACCCACATGGTGCAGCAGACCTCTCTTGTCTCCCCACTGTTCCCCTGAGCAGTGTATTTCAGTCAGTCTGCCTGTTCTGCTCCCCACTCTGCCTCTGGTGAATCCACTCAGCCGCCCCTGCACCTCTGGCCTGTACCCCAGTTCTTGTATGCATAAATAAATAAAAATCTTTAAAAAATTACATAAACAAGAACAAATTTTTTTTAAATATTTATTTATGCATACAAGAACTGGGGTACAGGCCAGAGGTGTAGGGGGGAACGGTGAGAGGATTCACCAGAAACAGAGTGGGGAACAGAACAGGTAGATTGATTGAAATACACTGCTGAGGGGAGCAGCAGGTGAATCAGGAGAGGTCTGCTGCACCATGTGGGTAGCTCCCTGGCTGGGGATGGAACTCGTGCTGCAGTGGCTGCGGAGAGCTTAGAGCTTAACCCCTTGCACCACCAGGGAGGCCCAAGAATGAATATTTTGAATCAGAATTTCTGTAAGTCAGTACTACTCTGAGAAAATAATATACCAAGTACACAAATTTTCTTTTACAAGGGACTGTAAGAATGTGAAATAATTGTTTCACTAAAAAGATGTATCATATTATTAGACATTGAGTAGCAAGAAAAAAACCCATTTCCTCTCCATATTATATTTAAAAAACAACTTTTTTTCTTGCCTTCTACTTTACCCATACATATTTTACATAGTTGTAGCCATACCATATGTACAGTTTTGTATCTTTTTTTTTCCACATGGTCTTTCATAAATATCTTTCCATGTTTGTGGGGCATATAATTTGATAACTGCAAAATAATCATGTTAAAATTGACTTAATTATTTAAAAAATGAATTTTAAGGATTCTGAATTGTATAAAGAAGAAAATTAGTCTCTTTAAGTCAGTTGATTTTGTCTAAAAATATGAATATATGTCCTTAATAAAGCCATGAAAAGGTGCTCCATGAGATTTGTATTAGTTTTGTCCACCTTATGTTGAGGTGGAATTTTGTGTATTTAGTACAGTATACATACCTACCACATTGAATTATTTGTAGGCTTCAATATGAGGTGTGAACCATCTGAGGGCAAAAAGCATTATTTATGTATCTTTAATCATTGTTCTCCATTGAGAGACCATCAGGAACATAACTGTAGGTGATGAGGTTGGGTTTGTTATTTTCTGATGTAAGGGAGAACTTACACCATGGGGAATGGTGGAGGTCTTAGTGAGTGGTTGTGAGAAAAGCTTTATATGGAGTTTGGGTTTGTCTGCTGATTTGGGGGAAGGTTCAAGGAAATAAAATTTTCCTCTGGGTTGAGAGCTGCCAGGAAGTAAGGGGGGCTGCTAGTCTGTGGCTGTCAGTATCTTTATCTTACCTGCAGGGTAGAGGAATGAAGCAGGGTCAAAGCTGTCAGTGGAAAAGGAACAGCACTTACTAATGTTAGGCAGATTAGGGGCATTTGATCATTTTTGTGGCTTGGAAAAATGACAATTTTGTCTATAAGCAGACATGATTGCAGAGTGTTTTGTTTGTTTGTTTTTTTTTTTTTTTTTTTTTGCCATCCCAGTGGTCACAGAGTGGCCTCATCTAGTGGTGGTCTGTGAAACTATGTTCAGCAGAATCTTAAGGCTTTGCTTCATGTGCTGTGTTAGCTCCTTGCTGTTATGCTCCTTATCTCTTTATCACGAATGTAGTTTTTTCACAAGTAAACTCGTTCATTGTGGAAAAAAGAAATGTAAAGCCATGTAAGCCAAAAGAAAAGTACAAAGTACTTAGAAACAAGAAAACAGATCTATTTATTTTTTTTTAAGTTTTTTTTTTAAAGATAGATTTATTTATACAAGATTGATTGATTGATTTATATAAGCACTGGGTACAGTCAGAAGCATGGGAGGGTGAGAGAATTCACCAGAGCCAGAGCGGGGAGCAGAGCAGGCAGAAGGACTGAAGTACACTGCTGAGAGGAGCAGTGGGCGGCAGGAGAGGTCTGCGCGCCATGTGGGACCCTCCTCTAGTGGCCGGGGAGCAGCCGGGGATCGAACCGGCGCTGCAGAGGCTGCGGGCAGCTTCGCAACCCAGCGCTCAACCGCTGCGCCACGGGGGAGGCCCAAGAAAGCAGATTTAAATTACCTAATATTTTGTTGAATATGTTACCTTTATACAAAAAAATATTTTTATAGGTATGAAGTTATATTATTTGTAAATGATTTTTTTACACTAGGGGTTTATGATGATTATCAATTCATTGTGGTTAGTGTCACTGGGGTTGTGATCTTGTGTCATCCTTATAAATGTCTATGTAGCCTCAGTAATAAGTGCTTAGTAATCTTACACATCTCTAACCCTTTTCTCTATATATATCTTCAGCTCTATGTTTCTGTATGTACATATAAATGTACAATGTAGTATGCACAACTATGGAACTAAATTATTATAGGCAAGGATGAGAGAATGCATTTGTTATAAACTACATCAAGAAGACATGAATGGTATTTGATTTCTAGTGTAAGAATTACGTACCTACTATTTGTTATGAGGATGTAGAAAACAAAGATTACGAGTCTTGGCATTTGAGGAATGTAGAGTGTTACTAATTATAAGCATTTCAGGATGTTAGTTTCACAGTCTTTATCACAGTAATGGAAATGTTTGATCTCTGTATGTCTTAGGAAGAAGTTAGGGAATAGCGTGTGTATTGATACGGCATTGTAACAACAGCATGCTTTTCACCACATTAATAAAGTGACGATTGGCATTTAGTTTAATAAGTGGTGTTTTTTTGGTCAGTGCCTTCCTACATATAATCTTTTTAAAATCTAGGTGGAAAGCAGCCAAGTATTTAGAAAAGCATACCTAAAAATCATAAATATTCAAAATAAATCTTTTGTTTGTACTTCCCTAATAATGATAAAGTTATTGTGTACCTGTGAGAATGACCTATTTCAAACAGATAAACAAATGTTGACTAGGATGTGGTAAAAAAGGGACACTTTCTGTATTGGTGGGAATGTAGATTAGTGCAGCCATTATGGAAACAGTAATTAGATTTTTCAGCAAGAATTACCATATGATTTTATAAGTCATAATTCAAAATTCAGCTATTCCACTTCTGGGTATTAGTCTAAGAATATGTAAACAGCAATTTGTTGTCTTTTGTTTTTATTTTTAAATGGAGCTTCCTTTTTTTTAAAAATTGAGGTAGTATTGGTCTACAACACTGTATGTGATAAAGGAGAATAGGTTTATACTTCCTCAGTAAACAGCAGTACGAAAATATACCGGCACTCCTATGTTCACTGCAACATTATTTACAATAGCCAGGCTATGGAAATAACCTTAATGCCCATTGCCAGAGTAGTGGGGATAAAGAGGATATTGTGTACACAGTGGAATAATACTACTCAGCTATAAAAAAAAGATGAGATCTTGCCTTTGTAACAACATGCATGGACTTTGAAGGGGTTATGATGCGTGAAGTAAGTCACTTGTTTCACTTATGTGGAAGATAAACAAAGGTAAGGGGGAAAAATCCTCTAGATTCTGACAACAGAATGATACCAGAGGGAGACAGGGCTGGGAAGGAGGTCAATTATATGATGGTGGGTGGAAATTGGGATTTAGTGGTGATCACAATGCAGTCTATAGAGAAGTCAAGCAAAAAGCTTATATCTAAAACTTAAACAGTATTGTAAACTATTGATAAAGCAATAAAAAAAACCAAACCAAAATAAGTCTTCATCTTAGCTCATATTGGGTAAATAAAGACAACAGTCAAGTCTTGAGAGACATGTAAAAACTTATTAGATTAATTTAATATTTTCAGATTTTCATCTGAAGATCTAAAGGCTTTTCAGATGTCATTTATTGTTATAACAGTTCTACCGAAATAGAACAATTTACCCTCATTCTCAGGCATTAGGTCAATGTATACACATTTAAAATTTATCATTTATCCTCTTTTTTTCCCAGTTGTCTTGGAAACAAGGTCCTTAGCTCTTGCTTTCACCTTTTTCTCATTTCTTTATTCATCTCTGAGCTTCCAAAAGCTCTGAAATATAATTGGATAAACAGAAAATTTACTTCTAGTGCCAATATAGTAGAAAGTGAGTTTTTGAATAGAAACTTACAGAACTAATGATGCTCATTATCTGCATGCTTTTTAAGTATACCATTTATGCTCAGATCTGAAAGATGACTGAAATACTTGATTTTTAAAGATCTTGTAAACTCCCAAAAGGCCTTTTCAGGAAATATGCTCTAAATCTCTATATTTGTTTTCCTCTAAGGTTTTACTTCCTTTTTTGGCTGTAGTATTCTAGTTTAAATTTTATAACCCAATTTAATGCATATTATGTTATGTGACTTTTAGAATTAACATTTAAATTCAGGGTTTTTTAAATAACTTGGGCATTTATCATAATGTAAATTAGAGTAGATTATATTTGTATATTTAAACTATGTCATATACAATACTAGGAAGAGAAAGTCCTTACCTTCAGATACTTCATATATATTAGACATAGAAGAAATCATGTTTGTATATACACTTAGGAACATTTGCAATGATTGTAGTACAAGGCAATAGATACCAAGAAAAATATATTTAACTCTTGTCTTTAACAAGGAAGACATGTAATAGAGTAATAAATAGTACCCTTCCTTTTTGCTTAAATCAATAATTAAAAGTATAGACATGTGAGGCAACATTATATTGAAAAGTTTTTTCATCTAAAAATCTAGATTATTTTAATTAGTATTTACTTACTATCTGGTTATTCTGTATCATAGAAGTATATAATTGTAACTGCTCTCCTCCCCACCCTCCAATTTTTTCTTTTTGGCAGCTTTTCACAGATGGAATCACAAATAAACTTATTGGCTGTTATGTTGGTAATGCAATGGAGGATGTAGTCCTGGTGCGAATTTATGGCAATAAAACTGAATTGTTAGTGGACCGAGATGAGGAAGTGAAGAGTTTCCGAGTGTTGCAGGCTCATGGCTGTGCACCTCAGCTCTACTGCACCTTCAACAATGGACTGTGCTATGAATTTATACAGGGAGAAGCATTGGATACAAAGCATGTCTGCAACCCTGCTATTTTCAAGTATGTATCTGTTTTTCTAAATAATTTTTCTTTTTTAAGTGCACTGAAGAAATATTTTTAGAATGGTCCTTTCTTTGAACATTTACTTGGTTAACTTAGAAATGTTTTTTAGTTAGTATTTTGTTTTGTGTTGGTTTTCTAAAGGAAAAAGAAATTCCTTTTTTTTTTTTTTTTGGTAAAGATTTATTTATTCATGCATATAAGAACCGGGGTATAGGCCAGAGGTGCGGGAGAGTGAGAGGATTCACCAGAGACAGAGCAGGGAACAGAACAGGCAGACTGACTGAAATACACTGTTGAGAGGAGCACCGGGCAAGACAGGAGAGGTCTGCCGCGCCATGTGGGATTCTCCCCACCCATGCTGTAGAGGCTGCAGACAGCTTCACAGCGCTGCGCTCAACCGCCTATGCCACCAGGGGAGGCCCAGGAAAAGAAATTTCTATGTGATATTTTGATTTGTGACTCTTTGCAAAAGAATGGAGTTCAAGAGGTTTTGGATTATCCTTTTGCATGGGATTGGGGCTTCCCTTTATTTATTTATTTATTTTAAAGATTTATTTATACAAGCACTGGGTACAGTCAGAAGCACGGGAGGGTGAGAGAATTCACCAGAGCCAGAGCGGGGAGCAGAGCAGGCAGAAGGACCGAAGTACACTGCTGAGGGGAGCAGTGGGCAGCAGGAGAGGTCTGTGTGCCATGTGGGACCCTCCTCTGGTGGCCGAGGGGGTGGGGGGGTAGGGAGGGTGGGGGGGATCGATCGAACCAGCGCTGCAGAGGCTGCGGGCAGCTTTGCAACCCAGCGCTCAACCTCTGTGCCGCCGGAGAGGCCCCCCTTTAATTTTTTAAAGTAGTACCTAAATCAAAATGTTATACAGTTCTTATTTCCAAGTTTTGTTATTAGTTGCTTATATTTATAGTTCTTTCTTACTAAGGTTCTATTAATTCTGTTATGCTTCCTTTTATTTAATTCCAGTGCATTACATTTTTTATAGGAAAAATACCTTGTTTATGCTTGATCAATTTTCTGTAATGCTATCTTTTAAAATTATCTTAAAAACTCTTGCAAATGGGTAGATTTGATTTGAAAACAGAAAGTTCATTCTTAGTTTAAACCAGAACTTCTCAAATACTTTGGTCTCAAGACCCCTTTACTCTTAAAGGCTGTTGAGGACCTTTTCATTTATGTGAGTATACAATATTTACTATCTTAGAAATTAAAACACATTTTTTAAGAAGAGATATTTTTGCAAGCTGTCAGTGTAATGATATTATCACATATCTTCATGTGGCTTCTCAAAAACTTATACTATATATTTGTGAGAGAATGATAATGAATGAGGTATGGAACAGGATATGAAACAGTTTTTTAACCTTATAAACCACCTGAAAGTGTCTTGGGTCTCCAGGGTCCTTGATCATATTTTAAGAATTAGTTAACACGTGGTAAAGAGTGGAATGGACCAGTATCATAGAGATATATGGAAATCTTACATTCCAACTACCAGATAGATTCTTTCTCTTTTCTTTTTTTAAATAAACTGCTTAGAATGTGTTGAAGGATCCTGTTTGTGTCTGCTCGTTGATGTCAAATTTTTGTGGTGTTTAGCCTTGCATATATATTTTTCCCTTTATTTATAAATCTTCAATATCATTCACAGAGGTTGAGAGAGAGGTCTATGCTAGGATTAAAAATAAATAAATGAATAATTTTAGGCCAAAGGGAAAGCTAGAGTTAGAATCAGATACAAAAATATATTCTATAAGGTATTAGAAAAGCATCATATACACTTCCTAATAGCTGTAGTGGGAGGAAAAGACTAGTTTTAGGAGTTGGTATCCATAAGGTTTAAGAAAAAAATTGCTTAAAGCTAATGCCACTTTTACTGGTATAGCGGTCTTAACTGTCTTTCGTAAAGTCTATACTTAAAATATATTTCACATTCATAATTCTCAGTTGTCTTAATACTATAAAATTTCAGTTGAGCTGCTGGCAAAATTATCATTAAGTTTAATGTAGAATTTTTGGTTTAGGGAAAGCTCATAATTGATATTTTCAAGTAATTTGAAGTAGAAAGATAGCATAATTAAAGTTTTTTTCCAAGAACACTGAAGTTTTGTCAAAGCTTGCTTTGGTATTTGATACAGTCACAAACATGATAATGTTAAATCAATTATAACAAGGAAAAAACAATACTATGGAGATAGTAAAAAGGTCAGTGATTGCCAAGGGTTAGGAGGAAGAGAGAAATGAATACATCAGAGCATTTTTAGGGAAATGAAAATGTCTGTATGATTTGAATGGTACATATGACATGATTTTGCTCAGACCCACAGAATGTACAACACTAATGTAAACTATGGACTTTGGGTGATAGTCATGTGTCAATGTGGGTTTCTCATAACAAACGTACTACTTTGGTAGGGGCATTCACTTCCTCTGTATGGGAAACCTCTGCACCTTCCCCTAAATTTGCTGTAAACCTAAAACTGCTCTTGATCTTTTGTCTTTTTTGGTACTTAATTAGATCTGCTTATTTAGAAGTGTCTTGAGTGTGTGTCTGTGTTACTAATGTAGGCCTATAACATAGAAAGTTAGAATGTATACTGTTAGAAATCAAATAGCAGTACATTCAGTTCTATGACAATTGGCTTGTAATAAGTGATATATTGTGCTGACCCACAATTTGAAAAAAAGCAGAAGAATGGAGTTTGAGAAAGGAAACAAAAGATAACTGTAAGGAACTCTGTCATAGGATATGATTAGTAGGCCTTAAGAGTACTTGCTATTTACCTTATTTTCCTATTTAGTTAAGATTATGTTGTAATTCTCTTACAGCATATTTAAGTGCTTAGCAGTTTTTTGCTAATGACTAAAAACAGAAAATACGAAAAGAAAAGCCAATTGAGGAAAGGCACTTTTGAACTAATAAAAGCTGAATTATATATAACTTTAAGAAGGAATGTGGTTTTATTGTTTTCAGTTTGTACAGTGAAAAATCAGGTATGCAACTGAATAAATGATGGTTATGGAGCCCTTGAGATTAAGGGTGTAAATTTAGGATGATGTGCTTAGTTAGCTTTTCTTCTTTAAAAAAAAGAATTTTTTATATTTATGGTGAAAAAAGATCTTTGATTTATTAATAAGTGCTTCCTACCAATTTGAGGTTAGTTTAGATGTCACATTTTGAGCCATTATTACTAAGTCATCCCTTTATTTATAAATCTTCATTATTGTTCACAGAGATCGAGAGAAATAGGTCTCTCAGTCTGGGCCAATTAATTACAATTTCAGTAAATATTGATTAGAGATCACAGAACTCTCTTGCTTTGGCTTATTTAGACAAAGTTGTTTGCCTGTGTTATGGTTATGATAAAGAGTATTTACTTTTTTTTTTTACGTTGAATATAAAAGACATTGGAATATCTGTTTTAGTCTAAGAGGAAAAATAATTAGTTCCTGCTGTACTACTAGTAAGTTATAGTCTGTGACAGACAGTAATCTTGGGGGGAAAGTGAGATAAATAAAGTTACACAGGAGAACAGAAAAGGTTTTCAGAAAAAGTAAGTTTACTGTGTATATTAGGAAATTAGGCCGTGTTACACAGATCACCTTTGACCTGGACTTTAAAGGATGAGGCAGAGTATAGATGAGGCTGAGGGAATGGATAGGAAGACCACTTGCACCAAGTTACTTGCTAACTAAGTAAGTCAATTTAGGGGAAATTCATCAAGGTCTTTTTTTTTAAAGATTTGTTTTTTTTATTTATGCATACAAGAACTGGGGTGTATGGTGGGCGGGTGGTAAGAGGATTTACCAGAGACAGAGTGGGGAGCAGAATAGGAGGATCTACTGAAATCCACTGCTGAAGGGAGCATCCAGCTAGACAGGAGAGGTCTGTTGCGCCTGTGGGTTAGCTCCTAGGCCCTCATGGTCTTTTTTTATTTGAACTATTTTTTGTAGTAATCATGTATTGCTCAGACCTTCAGAATAATTTTTTTTAAAGATTTATTTATTTATTTATGCAAGCACTGGGTACAGTCAGAAGCGCGGGAGGGTGAGAGAATTCGCCAGAGCCAGAGCTGGGGGAGCAGAGCAGGCAGACTGATGAAATGCACTGCTGAGGGGAGCAGCAGGCGCAGCAGGAGAGGTCTGCACGCCATGTGGGACCCTTTCCCGGTGGCTGGAGATTGAACTGGCGTTGCAGAGGCTGCTGGCAGCTTTGCAACCCAGCGCTCAACCGCTGCGCCACCGGGGAGGCCCACCTTCAGAATAATTTTTTAAATTTTATTAGGAATTTTCTCATCAGGTGTTTCTCAAAAACCACCTCTTGCTCTGGGAATCCTGACAGCAACAGACATAAATGTGGAAATTGCAGTTTAATTGAACTATTGCACATTTATCAAAAAGCATAACCAGAAATCACCAACTTCCAATGTTGAGGGTATTACTGTGGTACTGGTATTTGTGGATTATAAGTAAAGTTGATAATGTTCTCTCTTGGAAATCAAAGGTAGTAAGTACATAGTCAAGAAAGAGATGATGCTGTGTTCTGTAATGACAACTCTTAGATACAACTAAGGTACATCAACACAGATAAGTATTATCTTGCAAAATGATAAAAGCATGTCTAAAGCATGCAAAATGGCTGATGCAGGGCTAAGAGGAAAAAAAGCAGCCTTACAGCTGAACTGTAGCTACAATCAGGCAATGATTTGCTTATGTGAAAACTCAAAGGGTGTAGTAAAAATGAACCTATTGGGATGGTAGGAGTCTCTGTTTTTCAGTTTCAGAAACTTCCTATTACAATGCTCTTAATTTATTAGAAGCTTTTAAGAGGGGGAGCAATTAGTATTAGTGGATATTTGAGGAAGTTCCCTGAAACCTTGAGATTTTCAAACATTTGTCTTAATATTAGTGCAGTAAAATCTTTCCTACTGAGATTTGGTAGAAGCACCATTCTATGGTAGTGAGAATCAGAAATCTTTAATTTTTTTATTATCTTATATATAAAAAACAATGATTTATTAAATAATGCTAATTTACCTTAGTGAAGAGTTTTATAGTTTTTTTTGTATATGGAATTTACTATTAGAAAAACAATTGAAGTACTCTAATCTAAAGTCTTTTTAAGAATTACATTTTTTTTTTTAAAGATTTATTTATTGATGCATTCAAGAACTGGGGTATGGGCCAGAGATGCTGGAGGTGAGAGGTTTCACCAGAGACAGAGTGGGGTATGGAACAGGCAGATTGACTGAAATACACTGCTGAGGGGAGAAGTGGGCAAGACAGTGGAGGTCTGCTGTGCCATGTGGGTAGCTCCCTGGACGGGGTTCGAACTTGTGCTGCAGTGGCTGCCGATAGCTTCATAGGTTGTGTCTTAACCCCTTGCGCCACCAGGGATGCCCAAGAATTATATTTTTTAAATAAAGATTTATTTTATTTATGTATGCATACAAGAACTGGGATGTAGGCCAGAGGTGTGGTGGTTGAGAGAATTCACCAGAGACAGAGTGAGGAGCAGAACAGGTGAATCTATTGAAATACCATGCTTAGAGGAGCAGTGGGTGAAAAGGGAGAGGTCTGCTGTACTCCGTGGGTAAGCTCCTTGGCTGGGGATCAAATTCATGCTGCACTGGCTGGCTATAGCTTATAGTGCTGAGACTTTAACCCCTGCGCCACCAGGGATGCCCAGGAATTACATTTTTATGACCATTTTATCTTATTAATTTAAAATGTTTTTTAAAATTTATTTATGCATATAAGAACTGGGGTGTAGGCCAGAGGTGCTGGGTGGTGAGACCATTCACCAGAGACAGGGTGGGGAGCAAAAAAGGTAGATCTACTGAAATACACTGCTGAGAGGAGCGGAGAGGAGCAGTGGGTGAGAAGGGAGAGGTCTGCTGTGCCATGTGGGTAGCTTCCTGGCCAACATCTAACTCTTGCCACATTGCTGGTCCCAAACATTGTATGATCAAAATAGGCCACCTTTCTTTCTACTGATGCTTTTGAACACTTGTTTGCTTTCTGAGTGTTTACTTGCAGAATAATTTTGAATCTTACATAAGGAAAAATGAAATATGTTATAAAATAAATGCACACTGGGTTTTTTAGTTTACTTGGGGATACATATGAATTTTATAATGCTTAATTTTTTTCTCATCATTTTGTTTCAAATAGGCTAATAGCACGTCAGCTTGCTAAAATTCATGCTATCCATGCACATAATGGCTGGATTCCCAAATCTAACCTATGGCTGAAGATGGGAAAATATTTCTCTCTTATTCCCACAGGATTTACAGATGAAGCCACCAATAAAAGGTAAAATTATTTAAACATTTGAAATTATGTTTTACATTGCTTTGTTAGATAATAGACTTCAAAGATAACTATTGGGTTTCTGGGTATGAAATCTCTTTGTACTTAATTAAAATAAGCATTAATTCACTCTCTACAGAAATAGCTTCCTCTCTTTCCCAGCCAGCAACAACAGCTAAAAGTAACCCAAAAAAACACAACCCTGCAAAAGTGGAGGTTGGGGGTCGAGTAGAGGTGAAGGGACAAGAAACAGATAAAAAACATTTTTTAAAAAGTAAATGTAAGATTACTATGAATAGATACATTTTTGCATAGTATGAGTTGGCAGTGGGGACCTTTAAAAATATTTCTTTTTATTTTAGACTATTTTTAAGCTTTACTTTGGTATAAATGTAGACCTAGAGTTTTACATTGGTGCAGTCTATTAATATTGGAGTAAAAGATTTTGGGTTGTCTGGTTCACTGTGACTATGTCCAGTAAAGAGGTTGAAGACTCATTCATTGGGGTGTTAACTTTTAATACTGGCTCCTCAGGTTCACACTGACTAAGGTATTTAATAATTTTCTGTATAAAAACTTTGTAAATTACCATTTATTATTAATTTATATTGACATTTTTATGTACTGTGATTAGTACTAGTACACAATTGGAAATTTTATTTCGTTCTTTGTTTCTAAAGCTTACTTGAATATTTCAGGCTTTGTATTAACTTGAATATTTCAGGTTTTGTTTTCAGAAAGTCTTTAAGAACAACATAGACAAACAGGGACCTATACATTTTTCTTATTTTTAAACAGTTTTTAATAAATATTTGGGGAAAAGCTGGACTGTTCTGTTTAGTTTGATTATTTCAAAGATTAGTTTGTTTTGGTCTGTGTATGTTTTTATTTCAGGTAATTTATCAGACCTTAAATTTGATAGGTATATTACACCCCTTAACTGAAATAGGCAAATTTTTGGAAGTGTGTCTAGTCTGCTAGATATTCAGGAAATGACAAATCTTATTTTAGCTGTTTATTGAAAGATTTTGGGAAAACCACTTAAAAATAATGACATAGGTAGCAGTAGAGAATGCACGCATTTCTTGACTTTTTAGGGTAACGTGAAGTTATGGTTAAGGGCAGAGGATTCTGAAGGTAGAATGCCTGAGATCAAATTTAGTTCTGCTTTGTAACCTTGGGCAATAACTTGTTTCCTCATTTGTAAAACTGAAATAATTAAGAATAGTATATTTACCTTTTAGGGTTTTTGTGAGGATTGAGTTTGTATATACAAAGTGCTTAGAGCAGTGCTTAGATTTAGAATGAGTGCTAAATAAATGTCAACTGCTATATTAAAATGATAATTATTACTCAAAGAATGTTATTTAGTTACATTTCCTAGATTATCCAAGGTATACTTTAAATTCTTGAGATTAGTGATACTTTGGAAAAGCTGGAGATTTACTATAATAACAGGGCAAAAGCACTCTACCCAATAGAAGATATTCAACTAGAACATTAGAAACAAGTATTTTTCTTATTTTCTATCATTCCTATTTGTTTTTTAAGGATTTTTATTTATTTATGCATAAAAGAACTGGGTTACAGGCCAGAGGTGCAGGGGCGAGAGGATTTACCAGAGAATGGGGAGCAGGACAGGCATATCCCCTGAAATACACTGCTAAGAAGAGCAGTGGGCTAGAAGGAGTTTCTGCTACCCCCTGTGGGTTAGCTCCTGGCCAGGGGGTGGCTGGCAATACCTTGATAGTACTGAAACTTAACCCCCTCCTCACCAGGGAGGCCCACATTCCTATTTGTTTTATAAGAAGATTGTAATTGCCATGTTCATAATCCCTTGACTCATACTATTTCCATTCAACTCTACCTTTTTAATAGATTCTTGAACAGTTAACACCATTTTGAAAAGAACTAATAAGGAGTACTTTTGGAAGCTCAGTTTAGAAAAGAATGCAGTGGTTAGGAAAATACAGGTAGCAACCACCTGAATAGAAACAATTTATTAAATTTAGTAGTACAGTATCTTTATTATATTGTAAAGTTGAAAAACAAAGTTTAATTTGAGAGACCACAGAGAAAAATGAGAACCTGGGTTAATGTTTTTAAGAAGAGAAAGTGACAACAGCAATTTTTGAGCCTGATGCTACTGAAGAAATTAGCAGCCTATTTTTAGTTGAGTTGATTTTAATCAAATTAATACAAATATAACATAAATACAGAAAAGCATAGAATGAAAAGCTGTGATCTCTAGTCCTGCTTCCTAGTACCTCCCACCCTTTGCAGCCTCACCACTTCCAGGCAGATTGTATAATGGATAATATTAATGTTATATGATATGTCTGTCATGATTATGTGATCATGTAATAATGAATTACCAGTAGTAGAAATATCTTTTGACTTTGAAAGTGAATTTCACTGAGAGATTAGCTGATTTATACAGCATTCACCTTTTCCTTTCCAAGCTTGAAATAGATCTACTGAAATACACTGCTGAGGGGGATAGCGAGGGAGACAGGAAAGGTCTGCTGTGTCATGTGGGTTTAGCTCCCTGGCCAGGTATTGAACTCATGCTGCAGTGACTGGTGATAACTTGATAGCACTGAGACTTAACCCCTGTGCCATCAGGGACGCCCAATATTTCAGTTCTTTTATGTATTGTTGCAATTTTAAAATGTACTTAAACACTCTTTTTGTTAAACTCTGTGTTGGTTTTTCTACATATAAAGGGGAGATGAGTAGAAAATGATAGAAAATACCAAACACATTTGGAATAGTGCTTGGTAAATGTTTATATTATTACCTCTTCGAATTTACAGTGATAGATTTTTTCTTTTTCACCCTACATTTTATCTGTTGCTCAGTTTCCTTTTAACTGTGTTCAAGCTCATGGTTAAGGTTATTCACTCTTTTTGGAATAATTGGCCTGTTGTTTTAGTTAATGAGTATGTGCAATTAAGCTTAACAAACTTATTAAAAATAGATTTTAATCTTTAGTCAAACTAAGAAAAATGTCATTAATACAACAAGCTATAACTCTTCTTTTAAAACTAAAAGGTTTCTAAGTGATATCCCAAGCTCTCAGATTCTTCAGGAAGAGATGACTTGGATGAAGGAGAGTCTTTCCAACCTGGGCTCACCTGTTGTGCTTTGCCATAATGACCTATTGTGTAAGAATATAATCTACAATGAGAAACAAGGTAGGTATTTGACTTTACCAGTAAGTAAAGTTGATTTCTGTTCTTAATGGTCCTTTGATCTTTGTATCAATAAGTTTAATTCAAATGGAAGATTAAAAACATGCATGAAGTCTCCTAAGGTTTTCTTTTGGGTTATAAAGTGATGGTAACTGTGCTAAATGAGGAATATATTCTTTATATAAAATGATTTTTAGTTTGGTTTCTTAGGATAATTTGTTGTTCCTGGTCGAGTTTTAAATGAAAAATAATAAAGTGACTATAAACTTAACTGTAAAATCTTTTTGGTAATTCATGGTTTGAAAATGCACATGCTTGTAATGGGGGTTATTGACAAAACTGACATTTCACTGCTTCATAAACAGAAATTTTCTCAATCTTGGGAAGGACAACAGTTTTAGAAACAAAATTACCTGTTTATTATGTTGATATGTTAGATACTGTGATGCTAAGAAGAGAGCCCAGCTGGAGGAAATGTTATTTGTAGTTGGTGAAATTTATATCTACTAGAGTAATAATCAAGAAGCTCTAATAAATAGTGTTAACATTTTTTTAGGTAGACAGTGATATTTTTCATGAATTTTTTTGGTGATTGTTTATATCTTGCTGTATTCAAATTTTCTTTTCATAGTTAAAAAACACTTGGTTGTATTATATTATTGGATAAAGTGGTTTGGGGTTTGGTTGCTAAATGATAGGTACCCTTCAATACTAAATTGAAATATGAAAATACAATTTTGGCTGAAGGATTAGTATTAATTCAAATGTCTATTTGAAAACTATGAAAATGTTGCATTTTATAGGAAACCAGTCTTGAAGAGATTACTTATAGCTGGAAGATTATTTTGAATCAAAAGTGTGCTGTTGTGAAGATAACTAAAGCCAAAGAATTCTAACTAATTGATCATCATTATATTACATTATTTGTGATCCTTCTTAGATTTTAAGTTGACACTATACTAATGCAAATGTTGTTGATATTTGTAACTACCTTAACTTGAAGAAAACCAAACAAAGAACACTGTCAAGGGTGGTAGAATGAAACATATATTCAAAACCACATTTGAGTACCTTTTATATCTGATAGTTTAATGTGGATCAGAGATTTTATTTTTAAAAATATACTGATATGCCATCTTAATTTTGAATGTCTTAAATCTTTGTGTGGAATCATTTAAAAGATTTTCAGGTGTACCGTAAAACTAAGTACTTGACAGTGTCCTTTAATTTTTTATTATCTATTTATTATGTATAATTATTACAATATATATGTACTTTATTATATACTAGTAACCAAATCTCAATGCCATTTGTGAGACAAAAGTATTAGTTATGCACTAAAGCAATGTATTAGCTTTTAATATTAAGTTCAGTGCAAGACCTAATGAACATTTATATAATAGAATTTCAAGTGAGGGGCTTCATCTTACATTTGAAGTGGACACTCAGCTTTATTTTTAACTGCAAGCTAATCAAAGAGAATCTGTTGTTTCCTTTGAAATATAATTTTAACTTCCATATCTTTATTTTCTAAGTTTTTTTTGCATATTCATTTCACAGAGCAAACTTGTTTATAAGCTCAAAAGGGACCAAAAAAATCAGATTACTTTGTTTTAGGTATTAATAAGAAATGCATTTTTACTTTTTTATTTAACCAATTGCCTATCTAAACTTGATCAGTGATATGAAAACCTCATATTTTCAAATAAAATCTTTATGCTTCAATTTGGCTTTAAGAGTTGAAAGGTTGTCTTTAGTTTGTTTTACCAAATGTTACCTCATTCATACTTTCACATCTAATTTTTCTGTCCTACACAGAAGAACACATTTCACTTACCATGTATATTATTTTCATATATTTTTTAAGGTTTGCCCACTTTTATAGAAGTCTATTATGTACCATTTCTTCTTTTCTTATCTTTGTGGTTATGTTTATGTGTTACCTATAGTGACATTCTCTTTTTTTTTTTCCTAAACAATGTTTTTATTGTGTCTGTTAGGGCTTCTAATTTATACCCTGTGACACCTATTAAAAAATGAATTCTTATGTGATTAGTTGATATATAAGCATGAAGAAATATAGCTAGAGTGCTATTCAAGCAAAAATCTAAAACCCTCAAAAGTATAGCAAGAAGTCCATTTTGTTGATCATTTGTCCATTCTATTTTAAATTAGGAGTTAATGGTTTTGAAGTAATGTAACTGTATGACATATTTGTCTTTGTTTATATGAAAAAGATACTATGTCTCCTACTTTAAAAAAAAAGGAAATTCTATAAATTTAGCAAGCGAAAAAATGTTTAAGACTGGCATTACTGCTTTACTAATGGTAAATATTCTAAGAAGGATAATTAACTTTAGAAATATGGACTGCAAGGTGATATTTACCTTCTTAACAGGTTAGTTACCTTGTTAATAGCATCTAAAAGCCAAGTTGAGTCTTGTGGGATTAGAAGAATTTCTACATAGAGCTTCATATTATATACACAGAAGTGTTTGATTTGTTAACCACTTTTTGAGTATTTCTTGTGCTTTGATCTCAGGATTTCACCTTTTTATACCAATCTATGAGATATAAATCTATAAAAAAGATGAAAGCTGGTGGACAGGCCTTGGCACCATCAAGCTCAGTATCTCTCTGTAGTATATCTGTCAGATCTGTAATTTCTCAAGTGCAGATTTAAAATTTTATGACTGTATGTATATATGCTGGATCATCTTGAGGTTTCCACATGTGATTTTTCAATCACAATAACTTAGATTTTATATATTGTAACATAGTAAAAATACAGCTCTTGAAAGCATATAGATTGAAGCCTATTTACAATCATGAGAAGTCAAAAAGAGTACAGTGTACTCTTTGAACCAGAAACATTTGGGTCCAGATGCCCCCTTCATCACATTTGGAAGGAAGTAGTGTTGGACAAGCCATTTTATCTCTGTATTAAGTTGTTTATGTTAACGGCTTGAATATCAGCACAAAAATCACCCAGGATTCTTGGGGGAAAATACAAGTTTATGGCCCAATGCAAGACCAGCTGAACAAGAGTTTTTCTAAGTGAGTCTAGGAATCTGCGTGTCTAACAGATTTATACTGTTGATAATGAAGAATTTTAGTTTGGTTAATTTGTAACTTAAAGATAATATCTACTTATGATGGTCTGACAAGAATTTAAACAATGCATTTAAAGTGTAGAAGACAAGGAACTTAACAGTTTATATTGCACCTATTATACTAGGATAGGGGTCGGCAAACTTTTTCCGTAAGGGACTCGATAGTCATATTAAAGACTCTCTATATCATATATATATTCTCTGTTGTAGCACAAACACAACCATAGGTAATATATAAATTAATGTGTGTTTGTGTTCTAGCAAAACTTCATTTACAAAAACAGACAATGGGGCTGCATTTGTCCTGAGGTTAAATGGTTTGCCAACACCTGTATTATGTTTATAGGATGCATTTTTTCCAAATTTATCTAATTCTGAAGATGGTTGCTGTAAGTCAGCAGAGTAACTGTCCTATAACTAGAGGAATCATGGCTCATAGGTTTGACAGTTCACTTTGTCTTTAAATGCAGCTTAACATATTCTACTTTAACTAGAAATATAAAAATGTATATGTGTGTGTGTGTGTGTGGATATATATATGTGGATGTGTGTATATATATCCATACACACATACACATGAAAACTATGAATTCCTTGTAGTTTATGGGCTTTATGTGACTGCTACAGGAACTGGTAGGCATTGCAGGAAGAAATACTGCTTCTACCTGTTCTCACCATGTCAGTTGACAGGCCTCAGGAATATGGCAGAAGAGTGAGCTTCCTTTCTGAAGTTGATGGTAGCTGTCAAGATTTTTGAAAAGTTAGTCAGTGCCAGGAATTAGGTGGTTGGTAAACAGCGGCCCATTCCTTGCCTTCAGTGAAATGACATCTTAAAAAGGTAAGAAAAGAATGCTTAATGATATGATAGACTTTGTTATATAATAAGGAAATCAAAGCCGTGGCTTTTGTTCCACAACCGTAATAAGAATTGCCAGTCATCTTTTAAATTAATAATAAAGAACAAATTGTACTATTGCTTATTGACTGACTTCAAATCTAGTATTTTAAATTCAACTAGTTCTTTTACTGCTGACATATTAACAGTAATTGCTAAAGCTTTTGAGTTTGTTGTTTTATGTCTTGATGCTGTCCAGATGTTTATTAGTGGCTGTTTTGTTTCTCTCCCTTGCCCCCATTTCTTCATAAAGTTTCATATAAAGATCTGATATATAATAATAAATTTCAGTAATGGCAATCGTTATTTTCTCTGTCAGCATAATTCAGTAAACTGTTTTACAGCTATTAATACATACTACATGATATACAGCTATTAGGAAAATATAAATGAGTGGTTTTTAAGAGTGCTTTTTCTGGGAATTCTAGAGTAAATCAAATTTTTCTTTAAATAATATAAATAATTGGCTTTAAATCTTACCCACTCTATTCATGAAAAGGCATTATTGAAATTGTGGTTGTTTTACTGATATTCTAATTATTTAAGAGTCTTTTGGTTTTTTTTTTTAATGTAAGAAAATACAAATTTTTGTATTTGTACATGTATTTTCCAGGATGTTTTTATGAAGGATAATCTAACATAAAATATCCCTCAGTTAATAAAAACCTTACGTTGTACTGTAAAAACCTGAACTGCCAGGAACAGTTACTTAAAATAGTAATTTAGTTTTTCATTTTTCTAACTCATACATTCAGTCCTATTCTATGTTCATATATGTGGCTATGAATGTCAGAAATGCTACTTTTTCTTTAGCATTTCACACACCCCTGCCCCAGACATGGGAGTTATCATTGTATATCAATATTCTGTACAGAAATTCCATTTATTCTGTCAGCATTTGAAGACTTGCTGCATGGCAGGGATTTCTCTGTGGACTGCATGATGAGATAAAGTGTCCTATTGCCCTTCCAGAAAGCTATACGCCATGTAGTGGAGGAGAAAGATTTACAAACAGATGTGCCTAGAATGATGAGTAGTACTGTGGTGAAGGTGGATGCTGAGAGAGGGATGAAGGGAAAGTTTCCCAGAGCAGAATGTACCCTTTTTCTGTATAAGAGAAAGTATTTGCTAACATTAGTGTAGTCATGGATACATTTTCTGTCTCTTCTCTTTCTGCCTTAACACTATGAAACAAGTAGAGAGAGTTGGAGAGATTTTTAGATTGTCATATTAGTTATATTGCTTTTTATTTTTATCCCTTTCTCAACAACAACAAAATAAAGGAATCCAAATAAAAATGTCATGTGTATTATACAACCTTAGTTACAATAAAGCAATAATAAAAATTATTAATTTAATAAAGTACTTAAAAAATTCAAAGACTATTTTCAGTTCAGATTTGAACAGTTTTTTTTTTTGTTAGTGAAGTGTGGATTCCATTATTGTGAAGGTATGCAAGAAATATAGTAATAAAAATTAGCTTTTGAAAATTCAAATTATAGTCTTATTCATTAATCTTATGACTTACCCTTATGTCATAGTGCTAATTACCTAAAGATTAATAATATGGAGTCTTAGCTCTTAAAGCAGTGTTCCTTCTACTTTTTTAGAGGTCAGAGATCCCTTGATGATCTAGAAAATTGAGAGTACTCTCCTTAGGAAATTTTAGGAATTATTCTTACTCTCTTCCCACTCATGAAACCCCAATTAGAAACTTATGTCTTAAAGAATTTATGACAGAGTCATGCTTATGTGAACTATTGATTATTAATGGTAGGTAATGTGTTTGTTCCTCCCCAATAATTGGGAATTTTAGAAATCAGAAATTAAATTTGTAGAAGTAAAAAAGGTCAGTATACTTTCTGTTCGTAGGAAAACATTTACAGTAATTTGATTTTTCTGGCACCTGATTAAGAGTAGGCCTCTTTAATTTTACTTTGTTGCAAAAGATTAAATTTAAGGTTGAGTTCCACTTTGTTTGCAATAGTTTTGACAAAGAATAGTTAATGCAGATTTTTTTTTAATTTTTTCCTTTTAAGCTTTGTGTCTTGTAAAATGTGAGTTTGCCAAATTTTCTTCATCTGCTACAGATTAGGTATGCCATTGTTGCTGCCATGTGGCGGCGCACCCCGTGCTTCTTAAACGCACTGACTGGAGATTTATCGCATCACTTGTTCACATGCACGGAGCCTGGTAACAGCCTCATCTGTATCTTGTTAGCTTCATTTTCTTGTTTTTTTAAATTTCATTATTTATAAACTCAACATAGCATTTAAAGATAAAGGCTAGTTTTAATGAATTAATGCTACTACAAAAAGCCTTGCTAAAATTTTTATACTGAAACATTTTAACTTTTGTTAAAATAACCTATGCTTTATTTAAATTGTGTTTATTATGCAAGCAGGCATGTTTTACCTGCCATTTTAACTATATTTGCCAAATTCTAAATATAATTTTGAAAATTGGAATCGAAGCTTTTGTTAATGTGGCAAAAGTACGCTTCAGGACTGGGCTGTGTATTTTTATTGGCATATAACAGTTAATATGAGCTCTACAAGAATTTGTGCTTAAAGAGCTATAGCAATCAACAGCTGCAATTTTTTAAATAATATATTAAAATTGTTTGGTTGGCTCAATTGTGCAGTTTGGTAAGTCGTCTGAATCCTGATTTCTTAAAGGAAGGCCAGGTGGATAGATATGTCCCACATCATCATGCTTATTAGTCTCTTATCTCTTGACAGTTGTATTTAGAGGATTCATCTTTTTAACTCTTTTTTTCCTCCTAAAAGTAATATTTATTGTAAAGAATTTTAAAAATCTAAGGCTATATTCCTTATATCAGAATATAAGGAAAAAAGGGCACTTGTCTATCACCTGTAATGAAAACAATTGAAACATTTTGTTTTAGTTTATTTCTACTCATCTTTCCCCACTTCCCCATGTGTTATATATGTATATATATATTTTTTCACCCTCTGAAAATATGTTAAATTGGATCACTGTATTTATTATTTTGTGTCTTTTTTCATATAACACAATTTCCCTGGTCATTAAACACTTTTTGGGAATGAAATTTTGTTTTCATGACTGCAAAGTGTTTATCATGAGGTGGTCTTCACTCTCATTTCAAACAGTACGTAGAAAAAACATTTTATTTAAAACATGTCTGATTTCCCATTCTGTGCTTTAATAATTTGGTTAAAACGTATTTTGTCTTCCCACTCTACAGTTTAATAATGTGATTTGGGGTTAACTTTAGACTTTCTGTGAGATAGATTTTTGTGAATTTGAGTATATAATACTTGTGGTGTGGTGGTTGAATTGTAATTTTAATTATAGTAGCAGTATTTTAAAACCTTACATTTATTATGTCAACATGCATACAGATTTTGATAACTGGGTTTTGATGATTTTTATTTTACTCTAGACTTGAATATTTTTATAGAAGTTTAGAACAATTATTAAGTGAAAGTTCATTAAAATTTTTTTGCTTTTATGTAAAATACTCCATTTGCCATCACATCATTGCATTTGTTACATACTGCATTTTTTTCTCAGTTTGAATATGGTCTACATCCATCCCCAAATTAAACATGTAATCTATATCAAGACATTATAGTCCAAAAGCTCTTTTATTTAGGAAATGCCATGTGTATAGACCAGGAGTTTGTTTTTTTACCTCAGCTTCATGTTTAAAACATGATGTAATTAAGCATATGCTATGCATTTTCTCAATATAAGCAGCTTAGAAGCAATTCTTACAGCCATCTCTGCTTTGTATCCATTTTACTGCTTGCCTCTGTAAGCCTTTGAGTTTGTGATCCCTGGTGTTGACAGTGACCCACTTAAAATTTTTTTAAAACATTTCTAACTGTCTCATCTTTCTTTCTCTCTTTTCTCTTTTTAAAGTACTAGGAGCTCTCTTTGTGGAGCCAAATGCACTCTAATACTCATTATTCAAAAATGAAGAGTTCCTAACAGTAGTATGTCCCTTGAACAGCATTGTCTTCAGAGAATTGTACTGAAACATGCATATATATTAACAGTAGTTTAGAATAGCTTATATAAAAAAATTTCAAATGCTTAAAAATAAATATACCTTGCTCTTTTTAAAAGATAAAACCACTGCCTAAGTGCTGCTTAGGTCTGCTACTGGAAACTTAGTGGCATAGCATGCCAGGGAAGTGTAGCAGACTCTTAAATTAGGGGTATTATTAAGTTGATGGGCATATATTGTTATAGATAACTGTAGAGTTCACAGAATTAAAGGCTTTCAAAGTTTACATTTGATTTCCATATGTAGATTAGGTTGTCAGTTCTTTGTTGAAGTATCATAGATTAATTTTTTGTTAAAAATGCTTAGATTGTTAACAGTTTCCAAGGGTGAGTTTTCACTTCTAATTAAACTTGAAATTTTAAGTAACTGATGCCCCCATGTGGTGAAAAACATATTTTATTTTTGTTTGAAGTTGGAGAATGACTATTTTTTGACTTTTAATATAGTTGACATTAGTGTTCACAAAGAAGCTGTTGACCAAGATACATAATTTGAATTTTGTAAAGCTCATTGCCATAAAATTCACAGCCTTACCCTGCATTGTCTCAGAAGTGCATGTAACCAAGCACGTACAATGAGACGAAATATTGGAAGCTATTTACAAATAGCATAGGGATTTTCTAATCTTATATATGATTTCTTATGTCTTTGTTTTTGTGTCTCACATAGGTGATGTACAGTTCATTGATTATGAATATTCTGGATACAACTACCTGGCATATGATATTGGAAATCATTTCAATGAATTTGCAGGTAAGATGTAGGGGCAGAATAGCATATATGACTTTGAAATACTTTTAGAATTGCTTTTTTCTTTAAAAATGATCATTATTTTTATTTTTATTATTTTAAAATATTTATTTATTTATTTATACGAGCACTGGGTACAGTCAGAAGTGCAGGAGGGTGACAGTATTCACCAGAGACAGAGCGGGGGACAGAACAGGCAGACCAACGAAATACACTGCTGAGGGGAGCAGTGGGCAAGACAGAAGAGGTCTGCCGTGCCATGTGGTACCCTTGCCGGCGGCCGGGGATTGAACTGGCACTGCAGAGGCTGTGGGCAGCTTCGTAGCCCAGCACTCAACCGCTGTGCCACCAGGGAAGGCCTAAAAAAGATCATTATTTTTAAACTTAACCATTTGAAGTTTTTTTTTAAACTTTAAAAAAATTACTGTAGGAAAGAGATGACTTCATTCTTAGTTTCTTAAGGCAAAATAATGACTGTAGCTTCTATTAAGACTTGACACAGTACTAGGTAGTTTATAAATCTTAATTCATTTTCTTCCCCTATAACTGTGATGTAGGGCAGGTCATATTTCCATTTTACAGAGGAGGACAGTAGCTCACAAAGGACCCAGAAAACTAAAGAGAACTAAGATTTGAAACCATTTGTTATTATTTAAAAGCCTTTGCTGTTTCCATTGTGTAACTTGGGCTTTGAGTTAAATTAGAAAAATTCAAGAATTCCCCCACTCTCCCTTTGGCTATTAATAATTGAAAAGCTTAGGGGCCTCCCTGGTGGCGCAGGCAGTTGAGCGCCTCACTGTAAAGCTGTCTGCAGCCTCTGCAGCGCGGGTTCGATCCCAGCCGGTGAGCGAGAATCCCACATGGCGCAGCAGACCTCTCCTGTCTCACCCACTGCTCCCCTCAGAAGTGTATTTTGGTAGATCTGCCTGTTCTGCTCCCTGCTCTGTCTCTGGTGAATCCTCTCACCCTCCCGCACATCTGGCCTGTACCCTGGTTTTTGTATAAATAAATAAGTCTTAAAAAAAAAAAAGATGGTCCATTTAAAAAAAAAAAAAAGGAAAGCAAAGCTGGTTACTTTTGTCCTTGAAAATGAATCTAATATCACTATCAAATTATAAAAGTTTTAGTTTTATATAACATAAGTAGAATTAAATTAAAAATCTATCTGTTGATTATATTTAGAAACATGAGATGCTCTAAAGTAAAGGTTAGAAATTCACTGGATGAGTTATACCTAGTAGGAATTTTTCATTGCTGAATTTGTATTTGTACACATTCATGCATTTTTATATATTTTGGATTACTAGATTTGGGGGGAAAAACTTAGGAAAGATTTTAATTTATGTATTTCCGGTTATTTCCCTTCACGAAATTTATCATAAACATACCCTGTCCCCATATATGTGCTATACAGATTTTCACATATTACTAGGAAGGGAAAGCAGCTAAACATGTAATGAGTTATTACCATAGTAGTAATCTGGATTGTTAACTGCTTTTTTCCCCCAAAGATTTATTTATGCATGCATGCAAGAACTGAGATATAAGTCAAAGGTGTGGGGTCGGGGGTGGGGGTGTGAGGGGATTCACCAGAGACTGGGGAACAGAGAACAGGCAGATCTACAGAAATACCCTGCTGAGGGAAGCAGTGGGCGAGGCAGGAGAGGTCTGCTGCACCATGTGGGTTAGCTCCCTGGCTTATAATAGGGGATTGAACTCATGCTGCAGTGACTGGTGATAGTTTGATAGCACTGTGTCTTTAACCCCTGCACCACCAGGGAGGCACCCTGGATTGTCACTGCTTTTGGTATGAAAGAGGAAGAAGCTCCAGTGATCTTTTTTTTTTTTTTTTTTTTTTTTTTTTAAAGATTTTTTTTTTTTTTTTTTAAATAGAGGCATGTTTTTATTTATTTATTTGTTTGTTTGTTTTGTTTATACATGCACTGGGTACAGTCAAAAGCGCGGGAGGGTGAAAGAATTCACCAGAGCCAGAGTAGGGAGCAGACCAGGCAGAAGGACTGAAGTACACTGCTGAGGGGAGCAGCGGGCGGCAGGAGAGGTCTGCGCGCCATGTGGGACCCTCCTCCAGTGGCCGGGGAGCAGCCGGGGATCGAACCGGCGCCACAGAGGCCGCGGGCAGCTTCGCAACCCAGCGCTCTTCCGCTGCGCCACCTGGGAGGCCCTCCAGTGATCTTAATTTGACTTTGTGGAGAAAAAATTGAGCTAAAACTTAAGTCAGGTAGAATTTAGATGTGCAGATTAAAGAGAAGGGAGGGCACTGCAGGATGGGGTAAGAAAACTTCAAGGTGAGTATACTTTTTGCAGGGTATAAAATTTATGTAGGATAGAGGTTTATAACACCAGAGAAATAGGCTTGTGTCAACTTGTGAAGAACCCTAAATGGTGGGCAAAATAATATAAACTTATCCTTTGGGTTAAATTCTCAAGCTGTATGCTATTAAATCAAGTTTATTGGGTAATTATTTTAAAGCAAGGAATGAAAAAGAATTTATCAGAGTTGGAAGGTGTATTGGGGGTAAAGATTGTTTTGTGAGACTTATTACCAATTCTGTGTATGAGGTTTCGGCATAAAATACACTGCATGCCATTGAATAGTGTCAGAAAAGCTTTAGAGCCACAGTTCTAGGAAATGCTCTATACATCAGTGTGTCAGAAACTCCTAGATGCTTATTAAAAAGAAGATTTGGAACTTCTGATGGTGATGGCTCAAGCGTCACATTTAAATTGAAGCAATGAAAATTGATTATGGTTATCAGCAGTATTTTAGAGTAGTTTTTAAGTTGGAATATATTATGATTGGTTTATTGGTTTAATAAATGTTATTTACTTAACATCCAGTATTTCAGCCAAAAATAGAAACATTTTATTTTATTTTTTTTTTTTTTGGAAAAAATAAGGTGGTAAGCTGTATTAAAGTTGGCAGAAGAGTGTGTGTTTTTTAAATCTTTGATGCATTTTCCCACTCTAGGTGTGAGTGATGTAGACTACAGTCTCTATCCAGATAGAGTGCTACAGGGCCAGTGGCTGCGTTCTTACCTTGAAGCTTACAAAGAATATAAGGGCTTTGGAAATGAAGTTTCTGAAAAGGAGGTAGAAGTACTCTTCATTCAAGTCAACCAGTTTGCATTGGTAAGTTGATAGTAAATCTTTAATATAATTTTACAAGTTTCTAAATTTTCATCATCTTTTAAAACTTTCCCGTTTTGAATTTTGTGAATTCTTTTTCAAGATAATGAAAAAAACATGATTGTTTATAATTCCCCTATTTTTTTTTCTTTAAAGATTTATTTATTTATGTGTACAAGAGCTGGGGTATAGGCCAGAGGGGTGAGAGGATTCACCAGAGACAGAGTGGGGAGCAGAACAGGCAGATTGACTGAAATACACTGCTGAGGGGAGCAGTGGGCGAGACAGGAGAGGTCTGCTACACCATGTGGGTAGCTCCCTGGCCGGGGATCAAACTTGTGCTGCAGTGGCTGCAGATAGCTTCATAGGTTGCGTCTTAACCCCTTGTGCCACCAGGGAGGCTCTGTAATTCCCCTATTATATTATTATACTTTTTGAGTACAAAGGTTTTGTTTCATTGATTATTCCATCCCCAATCTCCACAACAGTGATGGCCACATGGTGTTCAGTAATTATTCAGTGAATGGATTCTAATTCAAGTTAGGATTAATGTGTGAAGCAGTTGTTTTTAATATCTGTTGTCTTTACATTAAGAAAAATATAATCAGTGACAGATTTATTGGAAATGAGATTTTCCACAAGATTTAATTGCCAGATCTTTTTTGTTTAAAAAAAGATTTATTTATGCATACAAGAACAGGGATACAGGCCAGAGGTGTGTGTGTGTGTGGGGGGGTGTGGGGGTGTGAGAGGATTCACCAGAGACAGATTAGGGAACAGAATAGGTGGATCTACTGAAATACACTGCTGAGGGGAGCAGCGGGAGAGTCAGGAGAGGTCTGCTGTGACATGTGGGTTGTTCCCTGGCCAGCGATCTAACTCGTGCTGCAGTGGCTGCAGGAAGCTTCATAGGTTGTGTCTTAACCCCTTGTGCCACCAGGGAGGCCCTAATCACCAGATCTTAATGTTAACCCGTTAAAAATACATTGGAAGAATCACTAGAATTATGTTTTCATGATTACCCAGTATTTTTGTCTTTTTTTTAAAAAGATTTATTTATGCATACAAGAGCTGGGATGTAGACCAAAGGTATGGGGGTAGGGATGGGTGGCTGAGAGAATTCACCAGAGACAGAGTGAGGAGCAGAACAGGTGGATTGACTGAAATACACTGCTGAGGGGAGCAGCAGACAAGACAGGCGAGGTTTGCTTCACTGCGTGTGTTAACTCCCTGGCCAGGTATCGAACTTGTGCTGCAGTGGCTGACTATAGCTTCATAGTGCTAAGACTTAACCTTGCACCAGGAGGAAGGCCCAGTATTTTGTCTTCTTAACCTTCTTTTGATAAAGTTACTTTCAGTGTCTCTGACCTTTCAATACCTCATTTTTAAGACCTATTTACTCTAAGTTCATTTATTTATTAATTTTTTAAAATGCATTGAATTTACCTCTTGAAAATAAGCTTTCAGCTAAGGTTAAATGCCAGGTTGAAGTTATTTTAACTATTTCTTTTTAGTTTTAATTCTGTAATTCAGTGGACATGAGTAATATTTGCTATACAGTCCTGACAAAAAGACTGCATTAGTGGCTGATAGGTATACTTTTTCCATAATCTTAAGAGCATTATTTCCCCAGGGCCATTCAGAGCACATCTCAAGTAGGAGGGTAGGCTAAAATGTGACTTAACCTGCTGTTCTGATACCTATTTTCAGTAGAACTGTTGGTTAAATTAGTGGCATGCTCTCCAGCTGGTCCTAAGATGCCTGCTGTTTCTATTTATTTTTCTTAAGCATAATCTTTAAGCAGAGAATGGAGGTATTTTTCCCCATGAGGTCATTAATAAAGTTCAGAATCAACCTAATGCTTCTGTTTAGCCAACTCCTGCATTAATGTGAGGAATATTATGGTTGTTTCAATTTGCGAGTTTGTGAGTTTTCCATATACCCATTTAAGAAATTAAATTATTTTCAATGCATTGAATTGATTAGTTTCCACATAATGTTCACTTAGCTTATAAATTCTTAGACAACAATCCCATTATTTACTATTCAAGAGCTAACTTGGGCTCCCTAGAAAATTTTTGCTGTTTAACACCTTTGTTTTGGGATACTGTGGTTGTATATGTATTGAAAAACACAATTGTGACTTGATCACCAAATTGTTTAAAAATATTAATGAGATATCAGAAACTTAGTGTTACACTAGTCATTTAGATTGGAGAATTCAAGCTGGAATTAAACATAGTACATTTCTTCAAAGTACTTACAGTTTAGGAGGGCAAATAAAGTGTACAAAATAACTATAAATAATTTTAACAGCCATCCTGTTTAAATTTTTTAGCAAATTAGAATTAGGAGGAAACTTACTAACCTGATCTGTAAAAGAAAGATATTTAACTTGATTAAAATAGCAGTGAAATGGACAGCATACAGAAAAAGGATAAAGAATAGACATAAAACTTGGAAGTAACTTTTTCCTCACTTAATATGTCCCTCAGAATTTACAAATTCATTTTTACATTATTACTAAATGTTAAGTTTTTTATACTTTAAGATTCTGATACTATTACATTAGAAACTATTAGACTATATTATCAGGCTAAGTTGGACTTGAATTCCTTTTACTTTATCTAAATTCTGCTCATGTCTGTTTTGTATTTTTCTTGTCCTTTTTCTTCTGAGGTGTGGGTTACTTTCTTACGTTATTGCTATCTTCATAAGAAAGGATGTAATACATTTAGCTGAACTCTCACACTTGGCTTCACCAGTCCTAGTCACTAACATTACCAACCACTCCTGATGTACCTTACTTTTAAGACTTTTTATAGTTTCTTTTTTTTAGCTTATAAGTTTATCTGGTATTTTTCTGTTAAAGATTTCAAGTTGAGTTTCTTCTCTGTGTTGAGCCCCAGATCAGTACTGACTCTGGGATCCCATTAGTCTTTGATCACATTATGTCCAAACTTGAATTTTATTTTGTGCATCCTGCCAATTATCACATAATTTATTTTTTATCCTGTTGTATTGATTTGATTAAAGCACTATGCATTTTGTTGGTATATTTTGAAACCAGAATTTTCTGTGTTCCCCTTCTTCATTCTCATGTTTATTTCCTATTTTTAAATTCTCTTACTCTTGGTTCCTAAAATTCTTTTAATTCCAACCTCTACTCCTTAATTTTATGACTCTTTGATTAAGACCTTAATCTCTCACCTTTCCTGGTCTCTGCTGCCATATTTTTAATGTCTTTAATTCATACATTTTAAAAATGATCTTTGTAATAACTGGAATCTAATTTGTGAATCTGGTTGTGTCACTTTCCTACTTTATGGCGCCCTGTGACCTGCAGAATGAAATGCAAATGATAGTGTCTATAAATTCTGTCTTATTTCTCACTTCTGCTCCAGCAGATCATATTGTTTTCTGTGCACTCCAAGTGTCAGCCTGTTTTGCACAGGTTACTCCTTTCTGCCTATTAACACCTTCTTGTGTACATCCTCTGGTAGTTTCTCCTCTTGTTTCTTATGCACATGTCTTAAATACAGTTTTCTTCTGTGGCACTTCTGTGGTCACTTGTATGAAGAAGACAGCCCACACATATATTATCAAGGTATTTTGGTGACTAGTCTCATCTTTTAAGTGTATAACACTAAAAAAAGGGAGTCATTAAAAGATGTGAAGGGAATTAGTGGCATAGCCCATACTTGAACTCCCAAAACTCCTAATTCAGATAAGAAATTCTTGTATACTGTTTTGGTTTACCTAGCATTTTTTTTTTTTTTTTAACCCAAGATCATAGAAGTTGAGTCTTTTTTTTTTTTTAAAGATTTATTTATTTATTTATTTATATTTATATAAGCACTTGGAAGGTGAGAAGCGCGGGAGGGTGAGAGAATTCACCAGAGCCAGAGCGGGGAGCAGAGCAGGCAGAAGGACTGAAGTACACTGCTGAGGGGAGCAGTGGGCGGCAGGAGAGGTCTGTGCACCATGTGGGACCCTCCTCTGGTGGCTGGGGAGCAGCTGGGGATTGAACCAGCAGCGCAGCAGAAGCTGCAGGGGGCGAGTCATTTTTTTTTTTTAGAGACCTTTTGTTGTTGTCATTATGGTAAATTGAGTTGACCCAAAAACCTTGTCTTGAAGATACTAAGATATTTTTCCTAGTTATAATATTTCTTGTTAAACTTTTGCTTGGGAAGTAAAGTCTTATTAATGGATCTAAATCTCAAAACATTATATATGTAACTGAAAATAGATTATCATGTGCAGACACACAATTCTTTTGCAGCTCCTAACATTCATCTTTATCCCTTTAAGTCGTTAAGACCCATTTTTTCTCGGACATAAGAAAGTCCTGTTACAGAATTGGGTCCACAAAAATGGTTTTCAGAGGTTTGTCACTACTTGAGCATTTTTTACCTTTTTTAAGATTTGGATTTTCCTTCTTGCCTATATTTTTATATCAAGAAACAGGATGTTGATAATATCTAGGAAAGCCTGTGATGGCTTTGATTATTAAAAATACAAAACCAAAATTTATCAATGTTGCTGAACTCTGCCTGCACAAAACAGGTTTCAGGAATTGCTCTACTTTATAAGCAGTTAGCATTTATTAACTCTTTTGGTGTGATCTATAGTCATTTAGATCATAACTAACTTCAGTTACAGTAAGTATAACTACATGTATCTTCAGATTTTTTATTTAAGATTTATTTTTACTTCTTTATGCATATAAGAACTGGGGTGTAGGTCAGAGGTATGGGGGGGTAAAAGGATTCATCAGAGACAGAGTGGGGAGCAGAACAGGCAGACTGACTGAAATACACTGCTGAGGGGAGCGGCTGGTGAGACAGGAGAGGTCTGCTGTGCCATGTGGGTTAGCTCCCTGGCTGGGCAGTGGCTGGCAATAGCTTGATAGCGCTGAGACTTTCACCCCTGTGTTAAAGTCTGTGTTAAACACCCCTGTGTGAAAGGAGGCCCTCTTCAGATATATTAATAAAAGCATCAAGTGCAGTGCATGGAATTAATGAAGAAGGAAATAAATATGTACAATTCGATATTTGTTTTATAAAGTCATGCGTTATCATAATTCTTGATTGTTCTTCCCTTCTTAGGCTTCTCATTTCTTTTGGGGATTGTGGGCTTTGATTCAAGCCAAATACTCCACTATTGAGTTTGATTTCCTTGGGTAAGTTTAATTTTACCTTATTTGTTACGTTTGTCTGTACTTTCTTTGGGTTAAGATTTAGAACTCAGGGGACACTGAAGTTACTATTTTCAGTCAAATATAATAAAAGTTGGATACATTTACTAATTGGTCTGTGAAGAAATTTGATATAATCTGTTAAAAGCTCTAAGTGTTAGAAAAGTGTCCAGTAGGTGGTGCAATAAACTAAAAATATGTCCTTTGAAACCTTAAACTTAAAAAAATTCAGCTTAGAGGGTGAGTGGAAATAAATGAAGGATTAAGTTTTTCAGCTTTGACTAATTCTGTTGTTACTCTCTTTCTCACTAGGTATGCAATTGTTCGTTTTAACCAATACTTTAAAATGAAGCCTGAGGTTACTGCATTAAAAGTGCCTGAGTAAAGAAGAGATTTAATTATTCTCAAGTAGCTGAACAATGCTTGTAAATCTTTTCTTAAGAAATCCAAAAAGCCAATATTTGTTAAAATTCTGTTATTTAATTTGGTTATCTTGCTTTACGAATTATGCCTCTAAACAATCTATTTTTTAAATAGGCTGAATGATGTCAAGAATATACCTACAGCTATCAGTATGTGGTGGATTAGAAATTTGTTAAATCTGCAAAAAGGTATAAGGATGCCAGTTTAATCCTTTCTTTGATAATTTAATCTGTGTTATATGTGAATTATTTATTATGAATTTAACATGTTCCTGTGAATGCGTTCATCTGTTTTCATTAGTCTGTTGAGTGTAAACAATGAGAATATTGCAGAGAAAGTTTGTTTCACTTTAATAAGATTAATTTTAGTAAAATTCTAGATACAGTGTAACCTTTTTATTTTCATGCACTGTAAGTAAAATGAATCATTTACTCTTGAAATGCCAGGCACTGGTATAGATAACTTAGGATATTCATAGAAAAATACCTGTTTAGGAGGGTGAAATACGTTCACCATTTATGCTAGTGGTACATCTTTTTGAACTGAGTATTGAAAAGGTTTCTTTTTAGGGAATATACTTAGAATTAAAATCCCCCTCCCTACATAGTCTGGCATATAAATATTAATATTTACCATATAATCCTGGAATAGATATGATTTCATGTTACCAACATTTGCATTAAATAATATTTTCATATACTAAATATGGTCATTTAAGTTACTAGTTTGATTTAAAATTTTCATTACATCAAATTGTTCCTAACTAAAAATTTTGTTTCATTTGTTGAGATTTTCTGTGTTTCATGTGTTATTAAATGGTAGCTAGTAGATAAATTGCTGATTTTTGAAGCAAAGATGTTTATCATACTTGGGAACAAGAGAATGTCATTTAGACGAACTCCTTACCTCTCCAGGTTCATTCCTTTCGTTTTGGTTTCATGGTTTAGTTAGGTTTCATATCTTTAGAATAACAACAGATTAGTTGACACACGTAGAGTCAGAGAAATATGTTGATGTGGTTAAAAGAAATAAGGAACATTTAGGGCATTGATCTTGTACATTTAAAAGCTGATACAAAAAATGTGAATTAAGCAGAAATATGTAGGAGGGCTTCTGTTTTGGTTTCTTTTGATTTTGCCTTACCTTGAATTTTAATTTTATTTAGGTGTGAGTGTGGGGCAATTATATGGAAGGGCGTTTAGATCTTTGGGATAGATAAGTAGGCTTCAAATTTTGAAAACTGCTATATGGAGCTGAGCAGTCATGGTGAACTTTACTTAGAAAATTAGTCTGACAAGCTTTGCACTTTGGTCACATAAGTGCCCATGTACAAAGTTGGCTTAATGGATCTGCATATTCCAAATATGCAACTACAAATTTATCCTCTGAACTCTTCTGGGGAGCCTGATGTATTATTCCAAATGACTTAATTCTCAGATAAGTGCTTTAAAATACTTGGATTATTTCAAGATGTTTAAAGCTAATAAAGTAGGTAGAAACACTTAAAGGCCATTTTAAATGGTAAATTCTAGTTACATAAATATTAAAATCTGTCTGTGTCTGTAATAGTGTTAGACTAAGACTGGGATTTGTGTTCTACCTCCCCAGTGTTACAGATACTCACTTCTGTCTTTATAAACCATAGTACTGTAGAGCAGTAGGATTTTACATTATTGCCTAAATGAATGGAACCAATTAAACATTATAACTTTTTATATAATGTTAGAGTGAACTTGAAAAAACTGGTCTTAGTGGAATTTTCGTCTGTGTTTGGAAAATTTTCTTAGAGCGATGAAGAAATGTAATATTCCTTCTTCTTTTCCTTTCTTTTTTGTTTTGCTCTCTGACTTCTAAAGTGAAACAGTGTATATCGTGGAGAACTAGAGAGGAGAAAAGATCATTTTTCTACTTTACTCCCTATTCAAACTATTTTGAATAGCAATTCACTGAGCCATTGCTGGTAGACTGCTTGCTGCTAGCTGTGATACAGTTGTAAGAGTTCCAGAGAGATTAGAGAGATTCAGGTAAAGGGGCATGTAAAAGGGTTAGTAAAGGCTTTCTCTCAGCCGTAGGAGGATGCAGTGGATCTTGGGAACAAAATAAGAAATTTAAGATATTTCTCCCACTCTTTGGCTAGATGTTGGAGGCTGCGATGCTCTGCTTCCTGTGTAGGTTTTTGGGATCACGCTGCAGACTGATGCTTCCTTTTTAATTGACCATTTAAGGGATTCTGAAGGAAAAACATCCCTCTAAAATTGTGCTGTGGCTTGCTGTCTGTCGCCTTTTTATGTTAAGCTAAGGAAATTGAATGCCTTACCTAATAACTCAACTGGTTGGGAGTAAACTCATTTTGTAAATATGAAAATGGTTGTTAGAGAAGTGGCATTCATGTGTACTCACTGTTAGTCAATAGACCATAGTGGCCTGGATGCTTTAACAAGCAAAATCCCATAACTTTTTTTTTTTCTCTTTATTCCTTACTCATGTATGATCTTACCTGCCAGTAACATTTGATTTACCCCCCTCTTACCCATGCTACCACCATTTTCTGGAAATCAAAGAGATGTGGTAGTAATTTATATTGTTCACATGATCATTTGAGATCATTATGAGCACAAAACTCATCAACTAGGTCTGCCTGGAATGTATATAAAACAGTGTAAATAAAAATTTGTAAATTAGTGTGAATTGTATCTTGCATATGAGATCGTGTATTGTTTGCATTCTGTTCCCTTTTGTAGAACTTTTTCTGTAATAAAGCAATCCAGCTCTTTGGCTTTAGACTGGAAATAGCCAACATACCTGGCTGCACAGTGGGATAACAAGAGGAACTGGAAATAGGGCTTATCTGGTTTTGTTAATGTCACTAATTTATTTAGCCTCTCAGTGCCTAATATGACTTTTCTCCATTCTTTCGTTGGTCATTAGTTTTTGTGAAGGTATTTCTTGCAAGCAGTAAATTAATACACTGTTAGAGCTCCGTTTCTTGAGTCATTATTCCCAGCTAAAGCAAATGAAAAATACACTGATCACAAACTTCTGAAGTATTAATCCTTTGCTATTTTCAAGGTTGTTAAACCTTTTTCTACAAAAATAACCCTTGAAATTTTATAGACCTCAATGTGAATCTAAGTCTCATATTTTCAAAGAATATGAAAAATAATAGCTTTTAGCTTATACTTAGATATGCTTGTAACTTAAGCATATCTCAGTTGGTTTCCCTAAAGTTGTTCACTATGGGATTGTAAAAGACAAAAAGCATAAGTAATCTTTTAATGACTCGTATTTCCATTTTTACTGAACTAAAAATATTTACTTTAACTTAATAAATGTTAAAGCTTCAAATTTAAAGAAAAAAGTTCTCCCTAAAAAGCTCAAGTCGTTAAATACCTCTACTTTTACAATTATATAGACTTTTTTTTAATATTACACAAAGCCTACTGTACCATTTCTTAATTCTTTCATAATGAGAATACTGTCAGTTTGCATTTCTGCTTTAAATTGCTTTTAATAAGCATTTTATACTGCATTCCAAAGTGATATAGACTTAAGCTCTTTATTAATCACTCATTCAATTGATAGACAAAGTCAACAGTGCTTTATGCTAGAAGGAGAGTTTTGTTATTGGCAGCAACTTGCACTACTTTATACAAAAGGCAAGTGGTAGTAATTATTATGCATAAAGGAATATTATAAAAATGTGGTAAAGCCGCTTTATCTTTATTTCAAAATTGATTTGCTCTGATTTTTCTTTAGTTCATTAGATTTTAGAATGTCCTTTGGAAAGTTAGTTGCATATTAAGGCAATCTTTTTTAAAAGAAAGATGTTGTATTGAGCCACCTTTTTTTCTCTCTCTTACATACCACTTGTGTGGTTAGTTTTGTGTTGGGTTTGATGTCTTTGGATAGGAAAGTGTATCAGTTACTTTAAATAAATTTTTTCCCATCTTTGAAACTTAGTCTGTAAATGTGTTGATCTGAAAGAAAATGCTTGGGTTTGCATTAGTAGAAAACTGAAATTATATAATTAGGTTTTTTCTGAACATAGTTCTTAACCTAAAAATGTTCATTTTTGGATCATTATTTGAAATGCACAGAAAATTTCAACTACTTGAATGGAGAAAAATGATAGTGCTTATAGAAAATACCTTTTTGTATTTGATGCATCTTAAATTCAAGTTTTTAGGTAGGTTTCTGTCCTGAAATCTGCTTTCACTTTTTTTCTATACTGAATTCACTTACTATGCTACTGATGTTATCAAATAGCAGGTTAAAATAAAATCTGTGTTCAGTATGAATTCTATAGCATAACAAGTTATGAAAAACTTGTTCTGTAAAATGTTCCTAGTCACTAAACAGACATTTTTATTTATATCTTCTCCATTAATGATATATAGGTATCATTAATCATCTTAACAAAAACACTTAATAGGTATTTATAAGAAAACAATACATACTGGATTTGGACTAGCTGACTGATTTAAATTGTCCTATTAAATTTCAAAACTCTTAATAAAGGAACTTTAATAAACGAACTCAAAATGAAGTTTGAGACCCAGTGACATCCACATAAACTCATTCTAGCGATCTGGAAAAGAACCCCCCAACAGCATTGGAGGAGATGAGAACATTTATTTGCCATGATTGTGGTGTTTGCTACTTCCATTTAGGTAGTGACACACATAATTGTCCAATAATCTGAAGAAATTTCCTTTTACTTATGTAAACTCTAAAATTACTATAAATTGGTCGATTCGGCAAAGGAAACTAACTGTACTGTATTTAGGAGCCTTTGTACAGATGGGCAAGTTTCCATGATATGAAGTATTTGCATTTCACAATATACTATTAATATAAGGAAGAAGACATGGCATTGCTCCATGTTCTTAAACAATTTTCTTATTCAGTTTCTGGAGAAAAAAGCAAAATGAGTATTTGTCATTGCGTTAACTGTATGTTGAATTGGAAAATTGTGGCATAAAGCTTAAATTTGTGTTTATCAAATGTGAAACAGAGTATTATGCTGCTCTTGTATATACTGTAAGTGCTACACACTGTCTCAGCACTGAAAATGTATTGATACCTCTCAGATGAATGCATCTTTGATGTAGGTGTTTTGATAGGCCTCAGAAAGTATCTGAGTGTCTGAGAACTTGTTAATCTGTTTGGTAATGAAGATACTTCCTGTTTTTCTTGCATATTTTCATGTTTATAATTTCTACATTTTTACTACTGTTAATTTAAGTAAAAATTGCTTAGTGGGTAGAATGGGGTTGCCAGTGAAGAAAATTAAAAACAGCCTCATTCATGTAACTGCTTAAGTAAAAATACATTTTTGCTTATATGTTCATAAATTTAATGATGCTGTTTATATTTCTGTTTAAATGTGTGATGTTTAGGCTGTATTTCTGTTTAATAAGGCCTTTCACCATTGATTAAATGAAGGAATGTATCTTTTTGAAGAGATTTATATTCTGTAAATAAAAATTGGCTGTAACAATAAAGTCGGGTTCTAACTGCCGTGTATTCATGAATCTTGTTACTTCAACTCATTTTGTGTAGTTTTTCTTTTGTAGAAAACAAAACTTTTCAAAGTGGTTTCATAATTACAAATACCTTACATCATTATAAATACCTTACAGAGTAGCAGTAAGTAGTGGGACTTCACTCTGTATCTGAATAGTTAGAAAATGGCTATAATCAG